TGGAGTCACCTCCACTGGAAAGAACGCCCCCGAATCATTGAAGGGCTTAGAATACGAACCCGACAACAAGCCACCATTCGGTAAGATTGCCTTTGTTCTAAACGATGGATCTTTTTGTGGACAAATGATGAAAATTGAAAAAAATAAGGGACGATTGAGTTGAGAGTTATGAGGGATTGTCTCATAGAAAATTTGTATTTTATGTTAGTTATGTCTTACATGTCTTTTTTGTGATGCCGGTTTTGTATGGGACATTCTGTGGAAAATGCACTCCTATGAATTTCTTAACTAAATTTTAATGTCGAATTTTCTTTAAATACAAAATATGAGTGCATAGTTTGAATTTGCCAATTAAAAAAATTATTCAATTCTCGATATTTCATTTTACCGGTTTCATCAGATTTTATAAATAAGCTAAATCTTCACTGTCAAGTACTCTCATTAACAATGACTTCAAAATAAATCTTTGAATAAAAATATGTGCACAAAATATGTTTTTATTAAATTCGTGTCTCGTCATATTTTGTGTACAATATTTTTTCAAAAGGGTCATAAAAGTGTTCGTTTTAAATAGGTATTTTATTATGTGTTATATAACTTTGATAAAATTTCAAACGCGTATTTATACATCAGCGTTTGCGTATCCACCTTAATTTCAATTTAATTTTCATCGGTTGATTATACTGAATATAATAAAGATTTTGTGTTTATTATAATTTAAGTATAAAATTGTAGACAATAATATTCTACGATTCAAAAATCTATAACACATAATTGATTTAATTTTAGTTTAAACTATAAAAAAGGGGAAAAACTCACGATTTATATTTCTTCTAGTAAGTGTAAGCTTAGATATGTTGCTTTTGTACTTTTAACCGAAAACATAAAAAGCAAAAAATGATATCCAAAAAAATGATAAAATATATTAATGTGTTGTGTTTAATCATTATTTATTTATTTGATAAATTCTTCAATGTTAAGAACAGCAAAACAAAATCTTGTTAGTATTAATTTAGTTCATAACATTTAGTTTTAAAGAACAATCAATGTCATAATATTATAATAATATAAATTAAATATAATATTATATATATTTTTCAATAAATTTTTTGAACACAACCGAATTTTTGAGTGTTTTGGAATTTACTTTTATTTATTTCTTTAAATTTAAATGTTTAAAAAAAATTACGATCAGAAAAATCTTCTTAATGCGGTGGAGACGCCTGATACTTTCAGTTTCTCAATTTCAAAAAGTTATTTCTTTACACTTAAACAGAAGTACACAAGTCATCACTAATAATCGCAAAATATGATACTTTATGTTTTCATTTCACCATATCTAAATTTTTAGTCATACAAATCTTCAACTTTCATTAAATTTTTTGGTTAAAAATTTGATTTTCACTTCGCAGATCATTTTTCATAAATGATTTACTAATTATGAAACCATTTCAGCAGGAACAAATTTCCATCTCATTATTGATATATACTTGTTATAATCTTATTATTAAAAAGTTAAAGATTAGTAAAATATCTATCATACTGATAGCTAATAAAATATCGTTATAGATTTAATGCCGAGAGTGTTACTAAATTTAAACATTAAGAAAAACGTTTTTAAAATTCCCAACTATTTTTCTAAATTGTCGTAGTTTTTAAAACATCCAGTTATCAAAAAATATCTAAACTGTATAACTACATTATTCTCATGAAGCATTTATGACTTAAACAAATTATTTTTTTTACTTTTTTATCTATACTATCAAATTTCTTTTCTTACTCGATTTATTGTATCTTTTTTATTAAATTAAATAAAATCGCAACATCTGATTTTATTCCAAAAATACGAAAATGTACCATACAGTAATATAGTAATAGCAGTATTTGAAAAAATAATTTGATATTAAGGAAGCTTTATATACAGTTAACCCTCTTATAACGCATTGAGTGCCTACCGCGTAATATGGAAAAAGCGTTATAAAATACTCGTACGTTTTAAAAATAGTATTTAAAAAAGTAATTTAATATGAAGGAAGCTCTATATGCAGTTAACCCTCCTGTAACGCATTGAGTGCCTATCGTATAATATGTAAAAAGCGTTATAGAAACTCGGCTTATTTATTCTGGATTCTATAGAAACAATTTATCATGATTTAGGGAAAGGAAAACTATTCAGAATTAGTATCAAGTATTTGTACCGCGTTATATGGAGACCAGTGCATACAAAAGGCAGGATGAATTATATATTGTTATATTTATATTTATATCTAAGAATTCGAAGAAAAAGTTTAAATTTTTATTATTGAATTGAAGAGTTCATATAAGGATATGATAAAAAAAATATATCAATAATTTTTAGTGAATTGAAGACATTGCATACCAATATGACAAAAATATATCCAAAATTAAATTAAAAAATTGTTTTCAACAAATTCCAGCAGAATTCTGGAATGTTTTTTTATAAAAATCAACAACGTGCTGTGAAAGAGCTCCGATATTACTAAAACTTTTGATATGAACTGGCATGTTTATATAACGTTATTGAAAAAGACTATAAAACTTATTAAAACTTTTTACAAAATTGAGACTTCTGTTATTTATTATTAAAACTTTTTACAAAATCTAGTTACTAGTTAAGAGGGCTGTCGCAATATCAGCTCCTGGAAATATCAAATCTTTTCAGAGCACCGTGTTATGGACGGGTTGACTGTATATAAAAAAAATTAAACAAAAGTACATCCAAACAAACTCTATAAAAATTATTTTTTTGATCAAATCAAATAACAGATTTAAACTATTTAAACTAATTAATTTGAAGCAAATTTTCAAAGCCATATGCTAATCGCCTTCTTCGGCTTATAATCCCCAAAAATGTATTACAAGAGCTAAGGTGACCATATTTTTCAAAGTCAAAACTGGGACAGCAATTTTTAGTTATGCTAATCCGGGACTGCAGCTATAACAGTTTTTTACATAAATCTTTTTTATAAGAATTGCGGACTTTTAATAAAAATTTTTAGTCGATCATTAGCAATACTTTTCTATCAATTATTAGGTTGTCAAATATCTCCCTTCCGCTTTTTTGCTATATAATATATTGGTTTATAATACAAAAAGGCGGAAGGGAGATATTTGATAACCTAATATATTGATCTATATGTTTTTCGCGCTTTTGAGCCTTATAATAATCTTGTGAAATAATTTGAAAAAATTAGCACTTGTTCGTTTGTTTTCATAATTTTTGTTAATTCATCTGTTAATTTTTGAAAAACCGAGGCAATCCGAGACAAAAGATCAAAATCCGGTACAAATATTGATTTTTCAAAAACCCGAGACACAAGGTGGAAATCCGGGACTGTCCCGGGCAAACCGGGACGTATGGTCACCTTACAAGAGCTAGCTTATAACCTCAAAAATTTATTTTAAGAACTAATATTATATATATCTAAATCAAATATTCTTTTAATCGCCATAAGCCTAAATATTATTCTATTACAAAACCGATTCACCCAGGTGGCCGCCGCAGCCGCTCCCCGACCCGCCGCGATCGTTCATCTGTACCCCGTGGCGGTAGTTTACCGCGTGGCGGCAGTTTACCGCCAAATTCGGGAAGGCGTTTCTCGCCTTTCGACGATGACTTTTTCGCTCCCGATGAGGACGACATCGTCTTCGGCGGCAGTCGGTACGAACGCGGCGTCTCACCCACGCCCGTCAAGACTAGACTTTTGCCGCCGCGGGAAAACGAAATTGCATACGACTTAGACGGTTGGAAATTTAGAGAATTACGATATTTGTTTTTTGGTTATAGTTTTATTTGTGATCGTTAAGTTTTTGCATCCCTTTGTTCGTTTTTTGAGATGACTATTGAAGTGCTTGAGTTTTCGACGTGTACACTTGTTATTTACTAATTTTTCAAAAGATTTTATGTAAATTTCTTTGATTTGTTGATAACAAAATTTAAATAATATTTGAATGTTTTCCTGTTGAAGATATAAAACTGGAATTCTATGAAAATTTAAAATTTATTTATGATGCATGATGAAGACTTTCGTCAACTACCACATACAAAATTTAAGCAATGGTAATTCAGGAAATTTGACTTATTCTTATTTTGAAATTACTGTCAAGATTTTAGACCCAGAAAATATTAAACATTTTATTAATTGTTCTGCTATATGAAAATATTACCATACTAAATATTTATTAATTTGACAATGGCATCTCAAACCACAAATTGGTTAGTCAGATTTCTCAGATAATTGCTTTATTCAGGATAAAACGATGATATCACCCAAGATCACAGTTTTTTGTGATATAATTAGATTCACTTTCCATAGTAGATTTTGAGTCTAAACTCTTCCTTCTTCAAATTATCCATCTGTATTCAAAAACCAAAGGCAAAAACATACATCGTGCTCATTTCTTTCATTACATTGAAACCTTGAATTCCATTTGAATTATCATCCATCAATAGTTGAATGCAGTTTATTTACTATAGAAAAATTTACTTTTGAATTTGAATTTGTCTCACAACGGTTCAAATTTCATTTCATCGAATAATGTAACTCATATGTGTGAAATCATATGATGCACGTATATTTCTATATTTTTTTCTATCTACATGTGGATACCAAAAATACAAACACTATGTCCACTTCATTCATTTCTTTCATAGAAACCTAAATTCCTATTAGAATAATTTGTCATTTATAGAGTTATTCACATATAGTTAGCATTTTTACTATATCGATTAACTCAAATATATAATGCCTTATTAGGCAAGTATTCCCTAATATTTTTTCATAGAGTGAAATTTTATGATCCAAAGAAGTTATTTGGTATTTTTTATGATTGAGTAGAAATAGATGAAGAAGGTTGATGATGGGTTGGTGATTTATGATTAACAGTAATAATTTATACCTATCACTTTAATTAGGTTCTTGCATAAGAATGAAATATTGTTGATAGTATAATGGGAATTTGGCAAATTATTAATTTCGGTGGTTTAATCTACAAATTCGAAAATCTCCTTTTATATATTCATATTTAAAAAAAAAACAGGATGAAATCTGGAATATCAGAATTGACGGAATTTGGATCTAATAGGCAAAATTTTAGAAATACTGCTATTTTTTTTATCAAATTCCAGCAAAAAATTCAAGCTGTATGGATCTGATTCATTTCGACCAGCGACTAAGTAAATTTGTTTTCTCAGTTTGATATTTTTCTACTCAATAGGTTCCATAAAAATTAAGAAAAAATATATGCAAGAATCTAGTAACTATTACTTGAAAAAGTGCGAATTTTGGTTTCAAAAAAATAACGTGTATGTTTTAAAAAATTATCGTGTCATCTTAAAATTGGGTTCGCTTGGGTAAGTTTACATATTTATTTTTCGTAAATTTTGTGTTTTATATGTATAGATGATAATTTTGGTAGTTAGCCTAATAAAAAAGGAAATAAATGAAGACAAGATTTAAGACTCTTGACTTTCAGAAAACATTCAAATATATAATAAAAATATAAAGAATTTGATGTTGTTTGGTGTTTAGGTGAATGAATAACTTAATCTCTTGTAAATACCGGTGATATGTAAAAATGTATATATTTTTATGTGTATACTAATATTTTGATGTTGTGATAGTTAATTATGTTTGGATTTAAGTAGATGATTGATTTTTAATGTATTAGTGTAAATATTTATATTAAATCAAGATTGATGACTCTTGATGAGATAGAAATACAGTTTACTATGAAATTCAAATTTATAAAAATTTAGCTTGTTGCTATTTATACACATAAATATAATTTTTAACAGTTTTTTTTATACGTAACATCAAAGGCTCGATTATCCAGATTATTTAGTAGTTTTAATACTTGGAAATACTTAGGTTTTGTAAAATGCATTAAACAAAACCGTTTTCATAAAATTATGAAAGCTATTCAAATTTCTTGTCAAATTTCATTCCCATTTTAAGCATTTAGCACGCCATTATATTAAAAATTCGTTCGCAATCTCCGTCACAAATTCACGAAAAAAAATCATTTGTGCTAAAAAATCATATTTTCTGAAGTACATAATTTCACATAAACATGTATAAACACATACAGCAAAACACAACACACAAATTTGGTATTATTTTTACCAAAAAGTCTATTAAGACTCGATAAATGTTGTAGCTGTATAAATAATGCTTTATAGAAATTAACAATAGTAGTTTAGAATAGTAGTTTACATTTATTTGAGTTCAACTGATGAAAAAAATAATAATTAAATTTGTTGATCTGTGCATTTACAAAATTTGTGTACAAAAAGCAAAATTTAACTTTGGTATACTTTGGTGTCAATATCAAAATAAATTCAACTTCAATTATTGTCTCAAACATAACTTAGTTATGTAACGACCTACGTTCATAATAAACCATTCAAATATTTTTTCTATCCCACACATAAGAGAATGGCAAATCGATGGATTGCCTCTCATGAAATAAGTAGTCATAAGTCTTGACCAACAGCTTATAGAACCTAAAAGACTTCTGATTGCTGTTCAAACAATTATATAAAAAAAAATCAAAAACTTTCAAACAAACTCAAAGTTCTTCCTCAGTTGAAATCAAATAAAACCAATTCTCAAACCATTAATAATCAAAACATCACTTCCTACCTTTCGTGCAGGACGTCCAATCTGGTCACCATCTCGTGGTAGATCCGTGTCACCATTGCACGATCTCCTGAACCCCTCAAAGTTTATGCCAATGTCAGCAATTGCCCGTGACCCATGGTGGTGGGACGCAGTGCCCTCCTGGAAGCCATATGACCCCTTTCTAAGATGGGGCAGATCACCATCCTTCGCAAGGGACTCCTATCTCTCACCTGTAAAGAGAACGTATTTGTGGAATAAGCATCCAGCTCGACCATTGGGTAAGATAATTGATACATTATTAATGGATTGATGATAATAGGAAAATTATACTAGCATGCATTTTAAAAATAAAACTATTTTGTTTATACACGTATATAAGGATGCAATAAAATCATATGGATTAAACAACATTTGCTTGAAAAATTTGCTTGAAAGGATGGTCCTTAATAAGGACATTTTCGAATTTCAAATGGATCCAAATTGATAAAAAACAATTCTCTGAAAGTTTTAGCTCTTAATATTAACTTTTAGATAGTGCGCAAGTCAATCAAACTTCGTATGGAAATAGCATGGAAAAAATTTAGAAAATAAACAAAAATTTTTTAGGTATAACTTAGCGACAAATAAATTAAAAGTGAAAATTCGTGTTTCTTTCTATTGAAAATTTGACCCTCTGCCATTTTTCAAAAATGTTTTCATGCTATTTCCATACAAAACTTTGATTGAATTGCGCACTATCTAAAAGACAATATTAAGAGCTAAAACTTTCAGAAAATTGTTTTTTATCAATTTTGAACCATTTGAGCCCTTGGGAGCAAGGAAATTCGAATATGTCCATATTAAGGACCACCCTAATATGTATATATATATTCACGACTACAAACTACGACTAACCACAAGTTGTTTGCAAAAATCATTTCATTTTATACAAAATTGAATATCAAAAAGTTGATGCATTTTATATGTTAATTGACCAGAATATAAAGTCACAGAGCTTGACCAACATTTGCTTAAAAATTGAATGCACTTTATAACTTTCAGATTATAAATTAAAATATGAGGATTATCAGATATAAATTTCAGATTTTAAATTAAAATATCTATCAAATTTTGTGTAAAAATTGATTTTTGCAAATATGCTAACTACCCACAAGCTGTTTTCAAAAATAATTTTATTTTATTTTTAATTGCAAAAGAATTTTTTGATTAATTAGTTAGTAGTTGATGCATTTAATAACACTTGCTTACTGACTAATTATAGTTGCAGATTATAATTTTCAGTTTAATTAAGTATAAAAAACTTTCTATCTAATATTGTGCAAAATATGATTTCTGCATGCATGGTTAAACAAAAATACTATTAACCATGTGACTTCAGAAATCATCATTTTCCACAAAACTAGATGTCCTAAATTGATTTATTTTCTACAACAAATTTATAAAAAAACATGCAAATCTTAGTTGATACAAAAAATGCAACTACAATTTATAATACCTTTGATACTTTTACAAAAAATACTACAAAATCTATTTCACCGTATGTATTCAAATCTACAATTTTTTATATGAAAATTTATCTATCACTTTTTACCATATGTATTCAAATCTACAATTTTTTATATAAAAATTTATCTACCACATATCCAAAGACACTTTGCTTTCTACCATATGTATTCTAATCTACAATTTTTTATATTTTAAATTTTTATTTTAAAAAGTTGCTCATTTGTCACAAGATACCTTTTAGCAACATTTGTAGTGCTGAGGTAAAAGCCACAGCCTTGCAAACACAGGGTTACGAATTCAAATCCTGCGTTACGCACAATCTGGTATCAAACAGTAGTGATATAATTTTTCACTTGAAAATATAGTCACTAATATATTGTCCAAGTAAAAATAGATTTTCAATACATTTTTGCAATATATGACATCATACTTTACAAGTATGTAGAAAAACATATTTTCATCACAAAGAAAAATCACAACCATTGGATTGGTAAAAAATAAATACACGTAAAGCTTTACTAGACTCCCCCTACTACACGTGACATTCAGTAATTTTTTTTTGTCAAAACCAAACTTTAGTGCCTAGAAAAAATTGTCAATTTTTTTTTTAATTCAGGTAAAAAATAAATGACTCCCCTTTACTAGACTAGACTCCCTCACCTTTAAAACTCACGTGATTAATTGACTTCTTCAAGAGACTCCTAGGCAACTACATTTACCCTACATTGTAATACCGAAATATTTGTTCAAAAGCATGTCCTTTACGTGTTTGAATATTTCTTAATCATAACTTTATAATAAACAGCTAACTAATAATAATGTTAATAATAATCTGTATTATTTACAGATACATTGCAAAACGTAATAGATGGGCTTCGCGCAAGTCTTTAATAACAATTTTTCACTCTAACCGCCCCTCAAAACATGATTCAAATGCTCAAAACTAATTTTAACCCTAACACGAATACAATGTTACATTAAATATCTATTTTTCCTTTTCAGCCACCGTCCGTTAAACCCCGAAGATATTTTGTGAATGTTATTTATGAAAATTTGTTATGTAAATAAATCGTAACACTTTATATTTAAGCACATGGTAATATTTATATTATAATCATTTAACTGCCCGCTGAGACTAACGTTATTTATTTTAAAAACATATAATTATAATGTTAATTTATTGATATTTATATTACAACAGCATTATTTATTAATTCATTTATTTATATAAGATGAAGTCGTTGATAAATTGTGAACGAATTTTGTGAAAAAAACGTGTCTCGAAAACTCCAACATTACCCCCACAGTTTGTCAAATGACTTTGAAATGATGACATGAATTGAAAACGATATATATTTTTGAAAAATAAAAAAATTCAAAAAACGATATTTATTTTTTATTTATTTCTTTTTTATACAGGAAACCCGTGTGATTATGAAGTGCCCGGGAATTCAACCTAGTTGTAGTTATATTATAGCTTTCTATAATGTATATTCTAAATCTTTCTTTACAGCAAAATGATCCAAAAAGAATTATTTTATAAAAATTTACAACAAGAAAGCCTGAATCATTTTTCTGTAAGTATAATTCATAATCAACTCAAATCGATAATTATTCACTCATCGATATTTATCTCTATACAAGAAAAATAATTTCCTAGTAACCGTACGAAAACGATTTTTGCGAAAAAGCGTATTATGCGGGATATGGGCACAATGTAAGGATCGGCTTCAAGTTGCGTATTAGGCAAAAAATCGTATTACTATGATATGTATGCTTTACTAGGAAAAAGGAAATTTGGTATGAATTGCCAATGACTAGGAGTAAGTAGCGTTTTGTCGTTTTTAAGTTTTTAAGGTAGGTAAGAAAACAATCGACATCGATAGGAATTTTTGTTTCGAAATAAAAAATACATAATGGAACTTATCAAATTATGTGTGGACGTCAACGGTGATCAAGGTGACCAATACAAGGGCAAGTTTTTGAAAATATGTCTAGACAATTCCATTCAACGACTTAAATTTTTAAAATCGGTGCAGCCTTTTCTATTTATAAGAAAATAATTGACGAAAGTTCAAATTTTATCCCATGTGTATACGCAATATTCACACACATATTTTTCCAATTATGGTATCAAACGATTCAGGATGATTTGATTTGAAAAGTCACGAAAATATAAAATTAAAAAATCAGATTTTCTATCAAAAACAAACTTTTCATACATATAACATCACGAAGAAGTAAATAATTTAAAGGCATTAAAAAATCGTTTGTAACCAAGACAAAATGAATCATAAATCTGCTAACATTTTCAATTTATAGTCAAAAAATATAATATATATTCTCTGAATCTAATTGTAAGTATAATTTAATAAAATATATTATTTCATTAAATTTATAGTAGTAGCAAGTCATGATTACTAAATATACACAAGTCAACAAAATGCTGATCTTATTTTTAAGAATATTGCATTTCATAATCTGCTAATAATTTAATTTCATAATTTCCTATAAAATTAATCATGCTAATAATGTATTTATGATAATAGCACAGTGTCATTTTAATGCATATCTAGTTTTTCTATCTATTTATTGGTCAGTTTTTTCCCGTAAACTAACAGGATCAAGTTCTGCAATGCAATTGTAACCTATTTAATTCAATCATAACAAACAATCATTTATCTTGATATTTATATAATTGATCATTTGTATAAAAGAATCTTCTTTCAAATTTGCCATAAATTTCAATTTCTCCTGAACAATAATTTTATTATCGCTGAAAAATGACTATGATGTTTACGAATAAATGAGCTATGACTAAAATGATTATGATGAGCACGAATAGATGAGATGCTTTTCAAATCAGTAAGATTTTTGTTAAAGTTATTTTTATTTACAGTTTAAATATTTCTCGTATAATATCCATTTCACAACAATACATATATCTTAAACTAAAGAAGTATGTTTCAAAAGAACCTTGTATTGCAATAATCATAATCAAGCATATAAAAATATATTGCGATAATACTATAGTTATGATGAAGAATATGCATAGTTTACAAAGAAGGAAAATAAGGATCAGTATATAGAGTAGAAAATTTGTAACAACTCATACCGATTTTGTACTTTGTAAAATATAAAAGTATCTACATAGTATTTAATTCACACATATTAATGTTTCATTGTTGAAAATGCAATGCATATTCTCCAACAAATTCTAATATCAAATACTTTTAAATGTTCTTTACAAAAAAGAAAATGCAGTCGGGCTATATGAAAATACAGTTAAATTATTCAGAGTCCAATAGTAAGATCATAATAAGATCAGACGAGCTGTATATTACCCAGTGATCTGTATTTATTAATTAATTCATAATTTCATATAGCAAAATTGGATTAAAACAACCTATGGTGAGTGGCTCAACATCTTAAAGATGTACAGAGCTTAGAATGAGAACACTACAATTGTAAACTTTATCACTTTTAGATACAAACTCTACTTATTAACATATAAATGCTTCTAAACATAGTAATAGAGGAAATAGGTTATATTTCTAATAAATAATTATTGCCATAATTGTTTGGAATTTTAATACATGGACATAAAAAAGTTTGTGATGTGGAAAATGTATTCGAAGTTAGATTTAAAGACTGTGTTTGATGTGTATGTTGTTTTTATGTAAACATTTGTTACGTGTCTTGTATTTGAATATATATATATATATATATATATATATATATATATATATATATATATATGTGTGTGTGTATGTGTTTATGTATGTCCATACATATATACATTTGTATGTTATGTGTTTGTGTATGAGTGTGTGTATATTAAAAATGTATCAGAAGTCGAGGCTAGTTAGGAAACATCCATTAACCGTACTCAGAACGTAGAGGAGGCATTCATAATGCCATTTAAATATAAAACAAAAGTCTCAAAACTAAACAAATTAATCTTTGAGATTTTCAAAAGATAACTACAAACAGAAGAATAACTAAACCAGAAATAGAACACCTAGTTTTCAATCCTTTGTTCAGAATTTGTATAAATTCATATAAAATAGTAGATTTGCACCATTCTAATTAGATCAACACATATAGTGTATCAATTATAATACAAAGTACACTCAAACTGGAGGGAGTTGGATATCAGCAAAGGGAAAAAATTAATGGATATCCCCTTACCGAAACATTATTGGAGTTTTAACCTTTCTATACAGATATTACTTTGCCACTATACATATAATAGAAATCTTTTGTAGAACACACTTAAAAAAAAGTTAAAGATATTTACACAAATTAACCAAAACAAAAAATCACTTAGCTTAAGAATTTATTAAAGCACATTCTAGGCTTCCTAAACAGATTTTCTTGAATCATACCCAACCTAATTGTACAAATAATATTGCTCTTCATCGCCTAAAAATAGTATATGGAACTTAATATGAAAGCGAAAAACTATTCCATTATTAACCTCTTTGAATTCCATTATCACAATCAAGCTTACAAAAATATAACAAACATCCTCGCAAACAACTTCAAATTCACACAAGCATTCACTTTTGTCTCTCTTCTAGAATATATTTGTTCAACAGCATTAAACAATATAATCATACATTTGAATTCTTATAATCATACAAAACATATAAATAACATCTTACTTCTAGAAAGCAATATAATTAGAAACAAATGCAAAAATATGTGATCTGGCAATTTCCATCAATATATAGAATAAAAAGATAATGAAAAATTAGTTACGATTTTAAAACAAAATTGATTCATAATTTCAACCACCGACATTCAAAGATGGTTCATATTTCAACCATATAGAATTTGAATGTTGTCAATGTTTTAAAACATTTGTTTGAAGCAACTAGTGTTCCTTTCATCAATTTTCAAAAAAGCATATTTTTATATTGTATATTGTATATACATACATATATAAATAAACATACATATATATATATATATATATATATATATACACATATATACATATATATGTATGTGTAAATCTATAAATTTTATTCACATTTTTTTTATTATGCACACATATAAAATTGAAAAAATACTCTTAAATATATAATACCTGCAAAAATATTGCAAAGAGTAGTTAAAATTAAAGAGCAATTGGAAGATATAATCCCTTACCTAGATGACTGATTTGGACAGCATAATTTGACTCAATTGCTTATGATAGTTTGCAGACAAAATTGAATAGTATACTAAAAAACATGAATTATATATAAAAAATAATATTTCATCTGTCCAAAAACAATCCTCCAGAAGCCTATGCTTTGCCCAAATATATATATACCCATTTTATAAACTCACTTTTCAAAATCGATTTATAATCCTCTTATAATTAATGCTCGAACATCTTTCATAGTGTAATTTATTCATGTTTTGAATGTCTATTGTCAAAAAAAATTCTGAAAATAGAGTTTATTATTAAAAAAAGCATGTACTATTTCAGACTAAAATTGATCAATATCCTACATAGCAATTACATTTGAAAATTTAGGATATCTTATAAATCCTAAATAAATTGAAAATATGATCATGCAAATGTTTGTAATAAATAACAAATATTAAGATCACCTGTTTAAAAAAAACATGTAAACTTGGCAAACTTGATAATTGAAAATGTATATCTATTTAAATGTTCTTGTAATACACAGAAGTATGTATATGTGTAAATATAGATAATGAAAAAATATTGATCACCAGTAAATATCAATTATCAGACAACAGAAGATAAAGACAAACTCCTTTATGAGGCATCTTACATCTTAATTTTTCCTCAGTTTTACAATTGTATGACATCAATTTTGCTTTTAATATATTAAAATTAATTTACATTTGGATCAATATTATGGGAGTAATAATTATTAACCATGTTTGTTCTTCAAAAAAACTAGCACACAAACTTCTGTCCTTATCAAGAAATAATATAAAATGCTACATAGGACTATTGTAAGTTTCTTCAAATGTTGAAATAGTATTATATCAAATGCTAGTATCTATTGAGATTATAGATATTCCCAAAATGCTATTCGAAACACTTATAAATAAGAAAGAGTGATACTTGCACAACCTATCACATACCAGTACTGCAACCAGATATTTCATTCTTCTCAGGTTTTTTGTTTCCAGTTTTATTTTCATTGGAATTTGTTTTATCTTTATCTTTTTCACCAACAGATAAGATGGGTATGGGCAGAGGCAGAGGCGTCTCAATAAAAGTACAAGGAAAGGGCACATAGTTGAGTTATTTTTTCTTAGGGGGCACATGTTGAGGCGTGTTTTGCCGACCGGAATTCATGCCGCTGTATTGGTATTTTGCTTTTTTCTCTGAAGGTTTAAGAATCTATAATAATAGAAATATTTTGACTACCGGGCAATTATAGTGCATTTGAGAAATAATTTACTTCATGCTGTATCCTAATGAAATGATCGATCACATAAGTATTAGGTACTGACAGAAAAATTGGTATATATTGTACATAATTATAATTTATAATATATATGTTATAAACAGAAAATAAAGCACAAATAAAAACAAAAATATTTTCTAAAAATAAGTCTTCATTCATTCTTAAATTAAATATTTTCCATCTTCAGGTTTCCTGTTAAGAATTTTGATACTGTAATGAACAGTATAATAAATATTATTTAAGTAACAATATTTAATAACTAGTTGAAGTAGCATTTAGCCTTACGACAAGTTGCATGGACTTTCTTTCTGATACATATACATAATACACTTAACAAAAATTGAAATTCAGCAATTTAGATAAGATATTCAACTGTTAATTTCAAAAATAATATTTTTGCTTTCACAATAAATAAAATATAAAATTTCGAATTGATGTCTTTCAAGCATATTTATAATATCTGTAATTGTGTAAATGAATTAGTTCAACACATTTCATATCATCCATAAAGTGTTCTAAAAGGGTATTTTATTTGAGAGTGAACGTAAACTGTAATCAGTAGCCTTTGAAACACCATAAAATGTACATATGTTGTTTCTGATTAGAATCGCTTGCGCGCTCAAAATTCTTTTATAAATTTCTTTCATAAGCTGTCATGAATTTTATTGTTATTTTAGACCATGAAATGAAATCATACGAAGTTTCATCAAAATCATCAAATTTTTTTTTTTCAAGAATTAATTACAAAAAACGGCCCAGCCGATCTTTACCAAATACTAATTACAATTCAAGATTGTGGGCTAAAACGTGGATGAGAATGTTACACTTTTCTGCTAATAATTACAAAATAATGTCCGTGACAATCTTTGCACAAAACTGATAGATGAACATGAATCTTTATCAAGTAACATTGAATGGCTTCTAAATTTTTTAAATCAGTCCAGTAGTTTTAGATAAGACGTCGACGAAAGACCCAAAATCGTCTCATATATATATACGCACACATACTTGTTCTAAATTTGGTCTCATTCAATTCAGATTGACGCGAACGTCAAAAAACAAAGTTAAAACGGATTTTTTCGCGGCTATAAACTTCTCCTTCGGGACGTTAAAAAAAGATTATATACCATTATATACTATAATAGATTATATACTGTAATAATTGATTTGAACAAAAGGATATCTTGAATAATTAACATCAATTAAAACATTTGTCACAAATTAAACAATTAAACAACAATTTAGACAATTACCTTAAATTAAACTAAATATTCAACCCAAATAAATACAAAACAAAACCCAAATAAATACAAAAATTTAGAAAAAAAAGTAAGTTCTGTAAGTATGTATCCTTTTTTAAAATTCCAGAACTAAATATTATGTTGTTTCAGATTCATTTATGATAATGCACAATCATACATTAATAAGAGAAAGAAGTAATTATAATTAGGTAATTATAATTTACCTATAGGTAAATAATAAAAAATAAATCTTAGATTTTTAACAGCATAAAATAAAACTTATTTTGAAAAAATGATAAAATAAAAAATCAAAAATTATTTTCCATCATTCCAACATAAGAGTTACTAATCAATAAATTATAACTTCATTTAGATTTTAGTGATAAAAGGTTTAAACATGTTTGAAATTTAAAAAAATCAGTTCGAAGCATAAAATCAAGTTAATGATGAACCCAGAATGAGTGAATCAAATATATAAGTGAATAAATAAATAACATATGCAGAATTAATCAATATATGTTTAAAAATGTTAAATCAATTATTGATTATTAATGGGCTGCAAACATACCAAGTTTTCAAATATTTTAAATGCATACCTGAAATGAGCACATCAAAGTTTCATCAACTGACATCATGCCACCAGCGTTGTCAAATTCTCCACAATAATTGGGCGCTGAGAATAATGTAACCAGTTGTCTTTTGGCAAAGAATTCATAACCATCCTCAACAACCTTAAATAAAAGAAAATGTAACACAAATAGAAAACAATATTATACTTGGCTATGAATTTAGGAAGCAATAAAGTTATTATGCAGATAATTATTAAAATCACAGTAAAACACATACCTGATGTGCTCTGCAAATCAAATCAAGATCATGTTTATTTAAGAATTTACTGACAACATCTCCACCAAATGTAAATGAAACTCCTCTATCATTTTCACCCCAACCGTGAACATCTTTATCAGGGTCAGACCATAACAAATCACATAAAAGACCTAAAATAAAAATTAAATCATAGCAAAACATAATTTATATCCTGATTAATGTATGTAAATAATATTTGATAAAATCATCTGCAGTGAATAATAAAATATTAAAATTGTTTTATAATACTATTCCATTATATATTATTATTTATATAAAATTATTAGACAGGCACCTGTGTCAGGTACATCTGTGGGTCTCATTATTCTTCTAATTTGTTCCATAGATTGTAAGTCGGGTGATAAACCTCCATGACAACAAAATATCTTTTCATCAATAATTGCAGCTATTGGAAGACAATTGAAACAATCTGTAAATGTTTTCCATAGTTTCACATTGTAACGTCTTTTGCATTCATCATAAAAACCTGAAAAGATAAGGTACAATGAAAATTCAAATATCAATATAATTTTATCAGTTTGTTAAATTATAAAGAAATACATTGCCTGTGTGAATATTCTTACCATATATCCTGTTAATACTGGCACATTCATGATTCCCTCTCAATAAGAAAAAGTTTTCTGGATATTTGATTTTGTAGGCAAGTAACAAACATATTGTTTCAAGACTTTGCTTGCCTCTGTCAACATAATCTCCAAGAAATAAATAATTGGCTTCTGGTGGAAATCCACCATATTCAAATAGACGTAACAGGTCAGTATATTGTCCATGAATATCTCCTAAAAGACAAAACAAATACAATTTCATCTAGAGCTTTTACAGTAACAATCAATTAATTAAATCAAATAAATTATGAACTAACCACAGATTTTTAAAGGAGCTTCAAGTTCCAGTAGGATTGGTTGTTGTAAAAATATTTCTCGAGACCTTTGACAAAGACCTCTGATTTCTGCCTCTGCCATTGAAACAGATTTTCCTGGGCGACATCCTCTCACTGAACAATTATTTATTAAAAATACACAAAATTATAACATAAGTTTTATATAAAATATTTATATAAAATTAAAAATATGTAATATATACTACTATTACATGAAAAATAATGTATCATAAGCCACATACTACATGCTTCATAATGTTAATAAGATAAGAAAAAGATTATAGATATAATATATTTAGAACATTTCATTCAAAATAATTTTTGCTGTTTGTTGTATTTTTTGTGGAACTACTGGAAATAAATATTTCAAATATAGGCAGACAATGTGAACTTTTAAAGTTTTTGCATTACTAAATATATAATCATTATACATAATAATATGAAAAATAGCTTAGATGGAAAAGTATTTAATCGATATATAAAAATCTTAAATATTACAAATATAATCTTAATATATAGAAGTAAAAATAATGATTATCAAAATTAATTTGAATTATAAACATTCATTCACTGCTTAAAACAATGAAATCCACAATTTATGCTATAAATTAATTATTCTCAGTGTGAGAAAATTAAGGCTAAGAAAGTTATGATTTTATTATTGTACAATATTGTGAAAGTTATGAAAGCCAAATTATGAATATGCATATAGAGCAAATATAAAAGAATACCATTTCTTCATTCATATATGTGGAGTTGTTTCCAAATATTGACTTTAAATTCAATTTCTTATAGAAGAAAAACTTGCGTAAATATGTGATATCATAAATAATTAAAATACATTCAAGAAAATGTATTTTAGGAATACTACGTGTGTCTATATTAATCGTTCGCAAAGTCAAGCGTTCAAAATAAAAATAGAATGCCGCGTTACTTCGTTGAATCAAACTTAACTAATATTATTTTAACCCTCAAAAGCACATATTAATTTATAAATAGACCAAGGTTTTTTGTTAAGTATAAAATATCAGCACTAAAATGGTGTGTGTATTTTAATATCCTATTAAATTTATAAGAAGTACTTAAATAATTAATTAAACCTGACAACTGACGTATCAAAAATCCTTGTGCAAAAATGGCGCAATTTTTAATCAGGAACTTAGCGTTGGAAATTGCTCACAATAATAAAAGAACAAATTTCAAGAACCTTGAAAAATTGATTAGATACTAGATAACTTAAATCCGCTCATAAAGAATGTATACACGTTTTGCACATTGTTTCTTTTCCTTATATAACACTCATGCGTATTATCAAAATAATATATCAACCTTGATAAAGAAAACAGCAATTATAATTTTAAAATATATTACCTTCTAATAATCTATGTATTAAACTATCAACGTCCAAATTGAAATCTGCCATCACTAACAAACTATGTCAAAAACCACAATTCTCACAATAAACTTTTTATGATACACTGGGCGTCGATTTACACACATAAGTATATTCAAAATGGTGGTTACACCTGAAGTTAACCGCTCATATGTAGCACGCAAATGTCAAACATCAGAAACAAACAACGCAAATATAAGAGAAAAATATTTCTTTTACTGTACTAATTGTTGACTTTATTAATTAACACGTATATATATAAACATTTTCTATTGATTCACGTTTATATTTTTGTTTATTGTGTACCTCTTTCAAACTTGTTTGTTGGTGTTACAAAAGGCGCCATATTTGAATTTTGAATTATTTAATCTTTGTTATAAAGATATCCAAAAACCCATAATCCCGGTAAATCTATAAGTTTAAAGGCTTAAAATTTTTGATACTACAAATAATATTGATCATAGATAAAATAAATATAAACCGATATTACTAAACAACTCATTATCAGAAACAAAACAGTAAATACTTATGCTTATATTATAGACTTTATAAGGTATATGATGCAATTGCATCAGTAAATAATTTTAACAAGTGTTTCACTATCGTTTTGGAAACGTCTGTTTATTTTTATTATAATAAAAATATAAATATAAATTAGTTATTAATTCACAAAGTTTGCCTCATAAATAAAAGAAGAGTTTGCCTGAACCATAATCATTAACATTTGCCAAAATATTAATGAAAAATCAATAAGTATGAATCTACATACACTTTTTATAATATAATTATATTTGGTATATTTATTAAAGCATATTTTAATATTTAATAAATATTTTATTAGGAGTTTCAACATTTAAACTTGAACATATTGCCGCCTTTTCTTTCTGCTCAACTTGGGCAATACTTTTTTAAGATGGCAGCCACCTGTTGTGATCAGTAGGCGTGTCCTTGATATTATTGTTATCGATTTTGTTATTGATTATTTTCCTTTGTTTTTCGTAGTTTTTGAGTAGAATTTAATGATTAATTTTAAGATGAATATAACTTGACTGTAATGTTTAATTTATTAAGATGGATGCGGACACCATCGTACGCTACAAAAATGATACGCACGATTGGATATTTCGGGATAATGACCTGTGTATATCAAGAGAGTCGTCGAAAGTAATTAAAGATACTAATCCAAGCGATTATGAAACAAACATTGAATTGTTTGGAGAGATAACTATTCAGTTTAACAATGAAGTCCATTTGCTTTACGATGGTCCTATGCAAATCAAAACACCCAGCGGGAAGGGAAATTCTTTCTCTCAAAACTCGATTGTGTCAAGTAATATTAAGAGAAAAGACCTGACAAATAGTGTTTGTAATAAAATAGTTTGTAAATCGCAACAATTAACTGAAAACACCAAATTACCCCCAAATCCTTCAAATCCACCTGATAGCAATATTGTAAATAGCAGACCTTCAAAGTACAATAATAGTTCTTCAAATCATAGCAATGTAAAAGATAATTCTAAATCTAAGCCTCTTATACTAAGTGAAGATTTTTGTTCAAGGACAAGTTATGTTTGCATACCACGCAAAAAGATTACCAGTGAAAAAACAAAGCAAATTTGTTCTACGGCAGTGTCTTTTAGTAAAACTTATGATATTATTGATCTCACAGCATCTAATGATAAGATATCAAATGTAGTTGATAAAAATGATTTAATTCCCAGTGTTTATACTAGTTCTTCTAAGGAAGTGCTTCACGACAAAGCAATTAATTTTCTTGATGCTCGGCATAATAGAATTTTGAGTAAAAACGGTGTGACAGTATTAAAAGAAAACAATGCAAAATCTTATTTGTCAAGTGATTCTAAAAAATGTCAAGTGGATAACAACAACAAAAGTCCACCTGAGGCTACTGTGGAAAACAAGGTTCAAAAAACATCTAATGAACTTTTTTTGTTTGGTAGCCAGATCTTGTCGAACGAGGTAAGTCTAATTGCGCAAGACAATAGTGATTCCACACAAAAAGGTAATCAAAATGTTTTTATTAAAAATAATATAATATCAAATGGTAATAAATTGCAGTTATCTAGCAGTGTTGAAGTATTTGTACTGAACAAAAATAAAAATACTATCAATAAAAATGATTTCGCAACATTCCAATGCAATATTAATAATGAGATTAGAAATGACAACAATAACCAAAATAGTAAAGTGGTAAATAGTAAACATGTTACAAGTAAATTAGAAAGATCAGATGTTAGAAAGAAACCTGTGAAATCTGATATTAACTTAACTCCAATGAAAGATTCAGATAAAGACAAAAATTTACTGAAAAATGATACTAAAAATGCTGAACATGTTTCAGTAGCCAAAAAAAATACTCCCGAAAAAGTTACATGTGATAAAAATTGTATAATACAGAATGATGCTTCCAATGATGTGCCAATTGAGAGTATTAAAATTGAATGTCAACCAGATGTTATAATTCCTATACTTGCAAGACAATTAAGTCCCAAACGAAGTGATGAGACTGAAGTCAAAAATGAAAGCTCCACGAAAACTATTTCAGAAAATGCTACAAGTATGTTGCCTACTCCGTCTCAAGCATTGAATAGTGGAACAAATACTGAAAGTGGATTGATTAAATTGAAAAATCCTAATATTAAAAGACCTATTTATGCACCACAAATCGCTGAAGATAATAAATCCGATAATACTTCTAAACAAAATGAACCAATTACTATAAGTAGTCAATGTTTATCTGATTTTATTTCACTAGAAATTAAAGACAAATCTACAGATGCTGCAAGTGTTTATATTTTCAATCCTGAAGCAGAAAATGTTAAACTCATTGAAAGTATTATGCACAGTCAGAAGAAAATACTTCGTAATGGAAAATTTGTTGTAGCTAACAAAAGCGGCAGAAACCTTATTCAAAAGCGTAAAATTAAATCTCAAAAAGGGACCCTTAAATCATGCAGAAGTCCAAGAAAGCATCAACAGAAAATTGTGCCTATGGCAAAAGCAATAAAAAACAATATTTCATTCTCCATATTTAAAGATGATAAAGGGAAAAATATGTTGAAAGAAAGACAGTTAACAATTGTTGATGATCTGAAATTAACTGAAGATATTACTAAAGGTGCTCAAAACATTTCCAAAGAATTAGTGGTAGAAAAAACTTCAACTGTAAAAACTAATGAATGCAATAGTCCTGAGAATAATGTTCTAAGTTCAATACCTATTGTGGAGGTGGATGCAAGTTGTGCAGAAACTATTACTACTGATAATACAGAACAAACTAAATCAGACATTCATATTGTTAATTCTTCTTGCACTTCAGCGATTTCATCGAATACAATTGAAGAATCTCTAAATACATCAGAGGTATGTGCTTCAGGTGATTTAAGGATTCCAAATACATTAGATTTGAAAAAGCAGACCGAAATTGTACCTATGACAGTAATTTACAAATTAGGATCACCAAATAATAAAGCAGATAACAATTTAAGTACTTCGCAAACAGAAGGTAAAAATCTAGATCTTTCAAAAGCAAGATCACGTATTCAGAAGAAAGTAACTGAATATTTTAATACCAAACCTATTGATAATGAAAAAGTTTTAGGATTAAAAAATGGTAAAAATGTTGACATATGTAAAAATGATTTAGTAAATATTGAAAGCGTTAAACCGATTGAAGAAAAATGTCATGTTTCTCAAACAGAATTAATAAGTGTCCTACCTTCAAATGTACAAAAAGATTCTGAAAAATCCGTTTCTGGTGAAGAAATTAACAAAGTCAGCAACAATTTATCTAAAGAAGATAAAGAAAATCCAAATGATACTCTGGATGAATCAATAGTAGAAAGTATATCACCTCCAAAGGAATCTGAAAAAATTATTTCAATCAACAATAGTTCGAAATCTAGAAAAGCTATAGTAAATTCTAATAATATTATCACTGACAACAATGTTAACGAAGATAAAGAAGGTGCAACATTGACTTTGAGAAAGAAGCGTTTATCAGTTGGTCAAAAGGAGAATATACCTGTGATAGAAAATAAAGAAACACCTGCAAATGTACTTGATGCGCCTGCTCCTAAGATTCGGCAATCAAATAAAGTTTTAAGGTCAACAAAGAATAAAAACCGTCCAAACACAAGGTCGAAACCAACAAGCCTTCTAAGCTTGAGAAAAAAGTCTCAAAAGAAAAAAATATTGAAGAAGAAAAAAGGGAAAGAGGCTACCAAAGCTAAAGATGTTAATGCTAAAGATAATTGGATTGTTGAAAATAATTCATTTGCTGAAAAAAATACAATAACAAACATTGTAAAGCCGGCTTTAACTAAATCTGTGAAGCGTGAACAAAAACCAGATGAGACTGAAAATATTATTAAATTAGAAACAATAGGTACTGAAATACATACATTCCATTGCAAAAAATGTGAGAAAATCTTCTTACGTAAATCTTTATTGAAAAAACATGAAGAGGAATCTCACCCAACTGAAAATAATAACAAAACACATTCTAAAAAAAGTATTAAATTTCATAAATGTAGTGACTGCAATAAAGCTTTTCGCAGGCCTAGTGTTCTAAAAAAACATATTTGTTCTAAGAAAAAAGTTGTAATTGAAACATCTACAATGGATATAAGTAAAGAATCAACTACTGGAGATGAAGTAAAAGTTACTGTAACTAACAATGTAGTAACTATAGTTGAACAAACAACTAATGAGAAAGTAAATGATAATCAAACAAACACACAGTCTCCAATACCTGAAACACCTATGGAAGAACCTCAAAATACTCCAACAGAAGTTGGACCACCAGTTAAACGAATATGTTTAGACATACCTGGAGAAGATGTAAAATTAAATGTGGAGGAATTAAATACTAAGGAAAAATCTAAAGTTAGCACTAAAAATAAAAATAAATCAAATAAAACTTTTGTTTGCCCACATTGCCATGTGAATATGCTGACATCAAATGATTTAAAAGTACATGTTTTAAGAGTTCATGAAAAAGTTAAAAGCAAAATTTGTCCTTATTGTTCAAGAGGATTTACCTGTACAGGTGACTTAACAAGACATATACGTTTGCACACAGGGGAAAAACCTTTCAAATGTACTGAAAAAGGCTGCAACATGGCTTTTATTGCCTCGGGAGATCTGAATAAACATCAAAGGACTCATTTGGGAGATAAGTATCCCAGGAAATTCAGTTGTGCGACTTGCGGAAAGACATTTAAACAAAGATATGAGCACGATAGGCACATGAGGACTGCACATACCGAACAGGGATTTAAGCAGTATGAGTGCCATTTGTGCAATCGGCAATTTGGTAGAAAGGATGGTTTGATATATCATTTGAGGATACATGCTGGCATCAAGCCGTACACTTGTAAGAAATGTGGGAAGGAGTTTACCAATCCTGGTAACTATAAGAAACATATGAATACAAAACGACATGATTTGCCACCTAGTACTGCACCCAAGAGGAGGAGGAAAAAGCAGGATACTAGCAGTTCGACAGATGCAGCTCCTGAACAATAAATAACTTCGAGATAAGGTAGTTGACAAAATTTAATTTAAACAGAATATTTTTTATAACTATATAAAAAAAAATAACATTCTACTAATATGATGATTTTATATAGTATCTTGAGTTTCTATATTATAATTTTGAGTAAGATCTGGATAAAAATTAGTAAAAATCAAGATATAATCAACTTTATAGCATTTATTATACTTGTTTGTGTTTGTTACAAATTTCAACTGAATTTAGCACAATTTCAAGTTAATTTCATCTAAATTTTTCATTTCATATTTAATTTTTTTTAATTATTTTAGTTCTGTTTGAAAATAAAACAAGATTCATAAACTTTATTGACTTACACTTGCTACCAACTTTCATAATAATTTATATTTTTTATACACAATTCTAAGAAAATACTTACTGATAAAAAAAATTATAAACAAATAAAATATATTATCATTTATCAAGAAAGGATACTTTCTTCTTATTCCTTTCGATCTAATATTATTATTTCATTTTTGTTTAATTCGATTGAGGTAATATTTTTTGTGAAAATTAGTATGTAGGTACTTATCATAAGTTAATGCAATGCAAAGGTATTAATTAAATTATAAATATTTATTATTAATATTAAAAAATTGATTTATTAATACCTTTACTTATTTTTTTAATTTGTTTGCATTAATTTGTAATAAGTATGTAAATACTAAAATATTCACATAAATATTGTGTGAAGTTTATTTGAACTTTCATATAAAATCATCATATTAAAAGTAAATTCAGTTAAACCTCGTTAAGACGATTGTCCAGGAACAAAAACGCATATTAAGCGGGATGGGGACAATATGTTTCAAAGTGCAGACAAAGTGACTATGAATTATGCGAGAAATTGTATTAAGCAAGATCGTTTTAACGTGGTCATACTGTTTTTTTTATTAAATTTTGCCATGTGTTCAAAAATATTAATTTAATTTTTCTTGAATGGTAATTTATTTTTTTAATTTAAGGAAAAAATTTTAATAATGTTTGGAACGCATATATATCAAGTCAGTAAAACCCCGTTAAGACGATTTTCAAGGAACAAAAACGCGTATTATGCGGGATGGGGACAATATGTTTCAAAGTGCAGTGACCAGTCTAAAAATTGTATTATACGACAAAACGTATTAAGCGTTCTAACAGGATCATATTGTATTTTGTCAACTTCTTTATATCCTTTGTGCAAAAATATTAATTTAATTTTTCTTGAATATTTAATTTATTTCTTTTAAGTGAAGGAGAAATTTATAATAATGTCTGGAACACATACATATCAAAACAAATAAATTTTAAATATAGATAATTATAATTTGAAGTTTTGTGCTTTTGAAAATATTTTTGGTTGTGCTATGAAAACTATGTCTCTATAAACTATTCGAACTTTAGGAATTTTATATACGTACTTTTTAAGTATATTATAAGTTAACTTAGTTTATTGTATATATTTTTATTTCATTTTTTATAATTATAACTCATTAAAATTAAGACATTTGTATTTCCTTACCTAATGGTTAGGAATAGCAATTAAGTATACTTATAGTTTTTATATGGATTGTAAATATACTTATATTATAAAGGTATAACCGAACAACAAATAACTGTATATAACATAACTTAAGTTTAAGTTAGATTAAATGTTTTACAAAAAAACTCATAAATATGATGGGTTTTATTAAGGTACAAGTGTTCTTATAAGGGGCCATCGAAGTATTACATAAGAAGTCCTTGGACATTTTCACCCAAAAACATTATTTCCTTCAATTTATTATAGATTGAGTGTTGTGAAACAGTCTAAAAGACATTATTTGCTAAATTTGTATATATTGGCATAATTTTATACAAATATTATGTTTTCTAGAACCCTTGGAAAAATTTTTTCTATTAGATTATAGAACGAAACAATATATGTTATTTAAAGCAATAACTAATTGAAATTGATATTTTTCTAATGATGTATATTATTAATCTTTGTGAAGGTCTGTGATTTTTCTTAATTTATTCTTCTAGATAACAAATAGATTTAAAATTACTTAAGTAATACTTAAAGAACCCCATACCAATAAGCGCCTTTATAGTTCTAGTTTAAGGTAAAATTGTAAAAAATATTTTGTTCTATTTCAACTTTTATTAATATGACTTGCCGAGATAAATTTGACTTGTAGTAATTTTGTTTACTATAATTGATCTTCCAAGTTATTAAAATTATATATAAAACCTCTGAAAGTGCTTTAAAATTAAAGAAAAAAAATATTTTGGTTGTGGCGGGCACATTAGAATATATTTGGTCCAACTTATGGTTAGTCACAAAAGTTCTATATTTATATTAAAAACATTCTTTCAAATTTCTTTTTTGTGAATTAATGACATTTGTTTGAATCTTCCAACTTCAAGATTTGTGATATAAATGTTTTAAAATAAACAAATTATAAATTTTTAACAGAAGTGCCTGATGGATGTTTTTTGACGAAGAGAAATGTACCAATTATTGACGATTAGATAGTAAAGTAATATTTGTAAAAATAGATTTATAATTTTTATATTGTATTTTATATGACTAAAAGCGTTTCATGTAAGAAATAAATATACTTTATATTAAAAATAGTGTTTAGTTTTACTAAACTTTAACTTTATATGTATTATTTACAGTCTTTTAGTTGGATGAATGAATCATTTTATATCTATATATCATGATATATATATATATATATATATATATATATATATATATATATGTATTTCATTTTTATATCAATTAAACCGTTGAAAATGTATAGATCTCGTATTAATATTTAGGTGTAAGTGGTGTTTACCTTTAAGGCAAAATAAACCAAAATTTTGAAATGATAAATATAAAAAATAAACGAATTTATTTTTAAGTATATTTTTTCATACAATATTGCATTTTAATTTGTAGTCTGAAAGGTTGGGAGCCACTGCTTTAATATGAATTGCCTGAGCTTCCTAAAGTGTTTGAATAATTTGCTTAAAAAGGTTTTGAAATTTAGAAACTTATAAAATTGTTTAGATGAAATATTTATTTAACTGTTTATATTGAAGTTTTTGCTTTTTAGAAATCTTAATATATAAATATAAATATATTTAACACTTTTCAGTCTAGTTTCAACAAAATTTTATAATTGAAAAACTTTTCGTAGGCCTATAATATTTTAGGACGTTCGTTAAAATGCTGATGATTTTTTTGCATTTTATAAAGAAACGGCTGACCCGATTGTCATACAAAACTGATCATTGCGGAAAAACGTGGAAAATTGTTAAATTTTGTTTTCACATACACACATATTTTTTCACTGAAGAAACTCGAAAACAAATTTCTTCTATGGGAAATTGTTGAATATTTATAAAATTAAATTGTCCAAAAAATTAAGGGGGCGCAAGATTTTTCTTATTAGAAATGGGGGTGTACTAATTGATACAATAGGGTTGGAAATCACTATATATAAAAGTAAATTTTAAGGGTCATATTTATACAAAATAAATATCAAGATATGAGAAATTCAGTATTTCTATGGATAAATTTTAAAATATGTGAAAATGTCGGAAATCTCTTCTGATATGTAGAAATACTTTTAGAAAATTTTCAATTAATATATAAAGTGCTCCATAACGTTCTCATTTCAATAAACCAATGGAAAAACATCCTTCCCAAACGGAAATTCCAAGATTTTACAAACATCTTGTTGTCTTCTCATATCTGTTCAAAATTTATGTCTATCGCCATCAATTTATCAACATAACTGACTGGCTTTGAATTCAAACATTTCAAATATTTGCTATTTATAAACAAAAGTTTATTTGACGAGTAGTGGAGCTTTTGTTTAGAAATTTGTCTGGGTTCAAAAAATTTTTGTCACCACCTATTGGAGTTCCACAGAATGAACCCGATGAGCGCATATTTTAAGCCGCACACACCAAAAAGGTAAAAAAATATATTACAATATTAAATAATACTTAATTTAATAAATTACTGTGTAAATAAAATAATTATCGTATTGTATAATTAAAAAAAAGACACACACACACGTTGACAATGACAATTAGAAGTGTGTAATTTAAATTTGTAGTTCTAAAATTCAAAATTAAATATTTTTTAATTTCTGTTATGTAGGAGAAAAATGAAGAAGGAAGACTTATGCTTCAAAGTTGGGAAAAAAATGGATGAAGGAGATCAAGCATTGGAGTTGCTAAACGAGTTGGACAAATTTCAGCTGGGTGAAGGCGACATTATAATGGTAAGATTTTATAGAAAGTTTATATATATATATATATATATATATATATATATATATATATATATATATATATATATATATATATATATATATATATATAATTAAACATTAGTCCCAGTGTTTCTTGCTTGTGTTGATGGGTTGGATTAAGTAGTCAAGAAGTAGTGACATCAGGTTTTACTTGAAAATATATTATGGCAATGTTTCCAAGTCCAAATAAGTCTCATTCATGATTGCTGCATCCAAAAAATCATTAGTTTTAAAATTCCCAATAATAAATTTAAGAAATAAAGACAGGACAACCGTTATAGTTTACCATCTATACGAGTATATCAATAAAGCCAAGTCATTGAGAAGTCATCATATCAAGCTTATAGGACTAATAAGTTTTGATTGCTGTTAATAATATTAGAATGAAAAATTGATATTACAAATTATTAATAAAGATTTCTGATATGCTTTTAATTTGACTGTGAAACATGCCGCCAGTAATAAAAAATAAATATCTCTAAGGGTGAAGTATATCAATTGAAGGAAATATTTATATACCAAAAAGCTAGCCATGTGTACTAGTAGACAACTAGGCATATGTACTGAAAGAATTAAAAAATAATACCTTCAAAAATATTATGTATAATTAAAGTATAAAACTTATTTATTGTGGATGTTTTTACGACTAGTCTAACTTGATCTTGAAGAAAAGTCTTGAAACTGTAATTTATATTTACCATATATAATTATTGAATTTGCATTAAATATAACTCCTAAGGATCATAAGGAATATTTGAGAAACATTATCTGAGTACGCGGAATCTGCTTGGAAGCGATTATGTCAGTGATTTCCAACCTGCGGGGCGAGGCTGTTGCATTCTTGAATACAAAAATAAAAAAAGTCGAATTATAGTGTCCAAAAATAAATTTAGAGTACGCTTTACCAAGAATAAGACCGGTAACAATTCATCTAGATTTTCAATATGCGGTCCAGGAGAAGATTAAATGGACCAGCAATGAAATAAAAAAGAAGTATTGCAAGCAAATATACCTAGCACCGATAAAGAAAAGTTTCAATTAGAGTTTTAACACATAGTATACCGGGCATCCCAGAACTCAACGCCAGGATGTGGTGCTGAAGAAGACAAAATGGATCGACAAGGATACAAAGAAAAAATACTGCAAGTAAATGCTGCAAGAAGTCATCAGCACCGATAATAATACTAACAAGCCCTAATAAAAGTTTCAATTAGATTCTCAACACATAGTATACAGAGTGTCCCAGAAATCAACGTCAGAGTTTTGTGCTGGAGAAATTAAATGGATCAACATTGAAACAAAAAAAGAATACTGCAAGGAAATGCTGCAAGAAGTAATCAGTGCCGATAATAATAATAATAGGCCTTAATAAATGCTTCAATTAGATTCTCAACACATAGCTATGTGTATTGTATATACTAGTATATAGGGTGTCCCAGAAATCAACGTCAAAATATGATGCTGAAGAAGATAAAATGGATCGACAAGGAAGCAAAAAAGCACTGCAAGCAAATGCCTCTAAAATATCCAGCACCAATAAGGATAATAATAAGACTAAAAAGTTTCAATTAGATTTTTAACAGATAGTATACAGGGTAACCCAGAACTCAACGTCAGGATGTGGTGCTGGAGAAGATAAAATGGTATGCAGAGTGACCCAGAACTCAACTTCAGGATGTAGTCAAGAAAACAAAAAAAGATGCAAGCAAATGCTGCAAGAAGTACTCAGCACTTTCAATTAGAATTTCAACACAAAGTATACAGGGTGTTCCAGAACTCAACGTCAAGCCGCAACGGGCTGATAGTACGTATTGACTGTAACTGTCCTAATAAAAATTGGAGAAGAAACTCACATTGTTTGGGAATTATGAACTTTTAGGTGCAATCTAGTTCTTTAGTGAAATTGTGGCCATATTTTAGTTATTATGGTTAATTTTTATTACTTTTGTTCAATTAAGCTATACAACCGTAAACGTTAATAACATTTCTCTAGGATCACAGTCAAAAATAACGACACAATTGCCCCATTTTTCAGGAATTAAGGCTTTTTGTTGAACTATAAATTAAAAATTTTGAAATTTGGTCAACGTTGGAATTCCTTCCAAAACTAATTTTTTTATCAATTTATATTTCCAGGATATTCCTTCTTCAAGGATTCCTCGGCGTCGAAGCGTTCTACAATGGGTCTGCATTCTTCTGATCAATTTTTACGATATTTTGAGTTTGGCCCACTGCACTCCGGCCCATGAGATGCACGGTTCAAGACCTTATCTACACAAAAGTGAAGAGAATTTTATCAAAAATATGTACTAAGCTAATAGCAAAAATTAGTTAAAACCGTGTGATTGTAATCGGCCTTCAAATATCAATGTGTGGATAAAAGAAAATTGAAAA